GAGGGAGGGTGTTCTCTAGGCCTAGTCCACTGCAGTTCTGCTTTCTGAACATCTTCTACAACTGAACAGCTTCTCAGTCTGGTTCATTGATTCCATTCTTGAATCATGAACGGGTGCAGGGTAATTCACAATTGCTTTTTAAAGTGGCAAACTTGGAGGGGGCAGGTGGGCGGGCTTCATATCTATTTCAGTTTGGCCGAAAGTGTTCTTCATGAAAGCATTCTGGATTTGGTGTGTACCCATATGAAAAAACCCTTAGAGCTTTTTACTTATGAGGGTTGTTTTTTAAAGTCCCTTTCACAATTCATACCATGCAGGAATTTTAATTCAGAAGAGAGATCTTATGTACAGCGCAACTGCTATATATTTTTATATATTTCTTAAGTGCCATTTTGCATCTTATGTAATATTCCATCATGTGTGGAAAATCCCTCAAAGGGACCATTTTTAACTAGGCTCAGCTACTTGAGTTACATTATGGTTAGACTAGCAAAACAAGGAACAAATAAATTCAAATCTGAACAGGGCATGATTAGGATTTTTAAAAAATAATAATAATAAAAATAAAGAGATAAGACATAATACTTTCCCTATTTTGATTGGCTGAGTTCTGTGTTGCTATTTCTCCTTGTACATTGCCTATATTAAATTATTGGATAAATAATGAATACTATTCGTCTTCTTCTTACTATGAGCTGTGAAAAAAGTATAAGACTCTTACCAGACATACAATGATATTATTTTACCATCCCCTGCCCCTTCCCTTGTCTGGGGTATTCAAACCATTTCTGCTTCAATGTGTGTAAGCTTAAGATTTTTCAATGGAAGGAATGTACAAATTATCCCACTGGTAGCTGCATTCTTGAATTATTTGAAACCTGATGTCTTTTTGACCATCTTGGTCACAATGAATGTTCTGAATGTTGAAAAACACCCAAGGTGAGACACACATACCACTATGATTTATGGAAGCACCGGATAGGTGATACAGTTCATTGCCTGTCCAGACTGTCAAAGAAATCTAGACCAAAAGCCCTGATGTGTTAGTGACGTTGTATCCTAAAGCTTCCCACCCTAACCCCCGGAGGATGGAGGAAGGCGAGGGAAATGTTAAAGACAGCAGGCATGATGGGGAAGAAAAGTCAAATGACCCTGAAAGGGCATTAGGAGAAATGGGGTGGGTGGGAATTGGGCTGAAATAGTGAGAAACAAACAAAAATGTCATCCAGAATACATGTTTATGAAAGCAGATCCAGCTAGCTGTCTTCTCTCATACTATCACCTATGATATTCAAACATGTTTCTATGATTCTAGCTTTATCTATTGGAAATGCTTTGAGAACCTTTCCAGCAAAATAGCAATGTTTACAATTTGCTGATAAGGGGGGATCGTTTAATGCATCTTGCAATGCTATCCTTCAAGGCTGCTCATATTAAGCATTTTATTGGATAAACACGCAATGATCTACACAGAGGTTGTATGCTCAGTTGCACACAGAAGCACTAGTTCTATTAACAACAACAACAACAATAATAGAAACAGCTTTTGAATAAATACCCAGAGTTCAGTTAGTTTAGGATTTAGTTGGTATTTTCTATGCATTATGGGATTATGGGAGTTGGGCCATAAAGAAGGCTGGTCGCCAAAGAATTGATGCTTTTGAATTATGATGCTGGAGGAGACTCAAGAGTCCCATGGACTGCAAGAAGATCAAACCTCTCCATTTTGAAGGAAATCATCCCTGAGTGCTCACTGGAAGGACAGATCCTGAAGCTGAGGCTCCAATACTTTGGCCACCTCATGAGAAGAGAAGACTCCCTGGAAAAGACCCTGATGTTGGGAAATGAGGTGGTTGGACAGTGTTTTCGAAGCTATTAACATGAGTTTGACCAAACTGCAGGAGACAATGGAAGACAGGAGTGCCTGGCGTGCTCTGGTCCATGGGGTCATGAAGAGCTGGACACGACTAAACGACTAAGCAACAAATACTCCATTTTTAATTTATTTATTTTTACATTGCTAACCAACCTGGGAGCTTCTGGGATTACACAATAAATATTTATTTGCTTTAGGCAAACTCCCAGGGCAGTTTACCTCATACAAACACAGTAAATCCTTAAACTACAACAACATGTAAACAAATAAATAATCATGAAATGCCGATGATGAATAAAGGAGGTCAGGGTGGATCACACCAATCCAAAGACCAACAAAATAAAAATCCTTCAATAACATATAGTAAAATCCTCAAATTAACCCATCACTGCAAACTTAATCCAGGAACATCTTATTGAGTTTGTAGAGTGTTCACTACATGGACAGTGTTCCAAGTGGGAAAGCATTGTAGAGATTTGTTGTATTCCACTTATTCCAAAATAGGCAAATAAATACTTATTTTAGTTAAAGGTAGAAAGTTTGAGACACTACAGAGTCTGTAATATAATGCTGTTTGTTTATGCTAGCCTCTGTCCAGAGAAAATTAGTTGCATCTAACTCCCATTGAAAGCAGTAGGACATATTCGTTGCAATTAATCCCAAAGCTGTCAGGAGCAGATAAGGACAACTTTCTCTGGATCCCCAACACGTTGGCCATTGCCCAGCTAAAGCTAGTTTGGACTAAGTCCTATGAAAAGGAAATGGGACTCCACTTAATCGCAATCAACTTTTTCTGAATAGCGGCTACCCTTTAGAGTTGGGCTTCTGAGTGTCCCAAATAAGATGATAACAAACTTTATCAGCAACGAAGAGTACCTGAAAGTCATGATCCAAAAAGCACAAGATTTCTATCCTCTTAAAAGCCAAAGGTTCAATATGATATTTTCTTAATTTGCCCAGACATTTTGGAAAAATGTGCTTTGCTGGCAGAAGATCCAAGGTTCAATTTCAGGCATCTCCAGATTGAGAAAGCCTCCTGTCTGAAACTATGAAAAAACCATTGCCAGTCAGTCCATGTAGGCCAGGAGTAGTAGATGAGTATTTTTCAGCCAGGACGTCACATTCTTTTGTGGGCAGCCCTGGGGGGGGAGGGCTTGCCAGCAGGTGGGTGGGACCAGAGGGAACAACGGGCAGAAGAACTGAAACAACTCTTACCTTCCCTCAGGTTACATTCCTGCCATGCAAGTCAGATGTTTCTACAGGTATCTATCCAAGCAAGAAGCAGTATCTCAGTTCCAGTTAACATGCTAGAAAAAGCACTCAAGTAATGTGTGGAGGGATGTGGCCTGGGGAGACTCCCATGAGCTGGATACAGAAGCCTAGTGGGGCTCTTTCAGCCCCCAGGATGGAAGTTACCTACCCCCCAGTTCAGACAACACTGAACCAGATAGACCAGGAATATGACTGTTTAAGATGCCTTCCTATGTTAGGAACCATAATATGTTGTTAAATTAGATCACAATCCACCCCATTCATATGGGTCTTTCCCATTTTTGTCCTAGGCAAAGGAGGAACCATTGATGAAGGAGAGCATGACAAAATAAGCACACACTGCATTTTAATTAGTTTTTTATTATTATATTAGACTTGTCATCTCTATAACACTTTAAGCATGCAACCAATAATCCAAGGGTTTTCATGTGCATCCATTCTATATAAAAGTTAGATGTTAGCAACAAAGGTTGTAATGTTGTCTTTTCGTGGGCATACTAACCTTCTACAAGGAGAGAATTTAATTATATGGAGAATCATTCCCTACCCCTAGCAGTCTGCAGTGGTATAGTCACCTGCTGTTGACGAACAGGTCCCCCCCCCCATCTGCCGCTTGTGAGAACTAGGTTTCAGAGAGGAACTTGTTTACATGAACTTTCTAACTCCTGGTGGTGAAACCACATGCTTACTTATTAAGAGATGCTTTTCTAGTCCCTCTGCAGCCTGGTGCTGGCCTGCAAAGTTACAGATTAGGAAGTCCCGTATGCAGTAGTGATGTTATGCACCCTGTTTATCTCCAGGGAAGAAGAACAGAAATGTTTGAAATGGCCCCCAACACACTATAACATGTGTACATGTTGCCTGCTTAAAACACAGCTCTGTCATTCTTTTTCTCTGTTAGGATCAAAGCTGGTTTAGCATCAAAATGCAGCATTTCATAAGCAACAACAGGATAGCTACCAAGTAGATATGGACTGCGGCTAATGCCATGTGTTCACTGCTTCCCAAACCAGCACACTGCCTGCAGAGTAAATGGGAATGTGTACACAGCCTTTTGGCATACTAAAAATATTTTGCCAGCTAAAATTGAGTACTTCTATGCCCCCTCCCAGTGAGCTCATCTACATTTCCATTTGTTCTGTGATTTCTAGCCAGAGGTACAAACCACACTGTTTATTGCTGAATTAGAACAAATGGTAGCACACAATAAACACACCTCTTGGACCCATGCGTAGAAATAATGGGAGAAATGGAAGTGTGGATGAACCCTATGAATAAGTCACAAGCTATAGATTTCAATGAACCAGACCAAATTAGTAGCAGTAAGGCACCACTGAAATCAGTGTGTAATGTTACTGATTAACTTAGCAGTGCAACCTTATACGTCTATGCAGAAACAAGTCAAACACTCCCAGGTAGTTACAGTCCCTATGTGTAGGTCTGTAGCCCAAGTTGCATTGACTTCTATGGGAACAAAGCATAACGAATTTGCTCTGGATCCAACACTACATGAATGAAGAAGAGTCTAAATATTTTTGTACTGACTAAGCACTTGCATACCTGCTGTCTTTGGAGTTTAAAATAAACCAAATGAAACTCAGAATAAGTGAACTACAGGACTGAGGCCATAGACTTTTAGTTTACAAATTGGTATTGGGCCAAATTGTTAAACTATTTTGCTACTGCATTTTCCAGTTAAATATGCTTTTGGCTGGAGATTTGAAGAGCAGGAAAACTCTGTTGTTTAATGATTCCTCCTTTGATGTTTATAGCTTCCAGTTGCTGTTTTGTTGTGCAGTGTTAATAATTGATTTGGTTTTTGTATTTCATTGACCGTCAGCTGCTTTAGGAGTCACTGAGTGGTAAGGAAACTGTATAATGGTAGAAATAATAATAATAATAATAATAATAATGGCAACAACATATACTTCCATGGCCTTAAAATGCAAATAATACCTTATCACACCCATAGGTAAGAACCACACTGGGACAGACCAAAGTCCAGCATTCCCAGATGTCTCTGGGAAGCCAAGCATGGCACTTAGAAGTGGTTTACTGCTTGAGCCACTGCCTACCACATCTGAAACAAAACAAAACAAAACAAAACAAAACAAAAAAGCAATCATTTATTATTATTATTATTATTATTATCATCATCATCATCGTCATTGGTTAATCCAAATGAATGATTGTGGATGGCATCCAATGGTGACTCTCTGCTAACAGTAGGAATCCATCAGCAGAACAAGCAGAGAGCAATTTTTGGCAATCATGCCCTGTAGCATCCCATGCCCCAACTCCTAAATCTTTTTCTGGAGGGTCAGCTACCCTCCGCAAGAGATTTGAAGGCACAGGGCACTGCAGGGAGGAAAGGGGACCACTGAAATCTGCTTCTAATAAAGTTGTTGAGGTTTTCTTTTCTTTTTTTGAAAATTCAAGACGTGTAAAGGGTAAAGGGACCCCTGACCGTCAGGTCTAGTTGCGGACGACTCTGGGATTGCAGCACTCATCTCGCTTTATTGGCCGAGGGAGCCGGCGTACAGCTTCCGGGTCATGTGGCCAGCATGACAAAGCTGCTTCTGGCGAACCAGAGCAGCGCATGGAAACGCCGTTTAACTTCCCGCGGGAGCGGTACCTATTTATCTACTTGCACTTTGACGTGCTTTTGAACTGCTAGGTTGACAGGAGCAGGGACCGAGCAATGGGAGCTCACCCCGTCATGGGGATTCGAACCGCCAACCTTTTGATCAGCAAGCCCTAGGCTCTGTGGTTTAGACCACAGCGCCAAGACGTGTATGGCAACCCTATTCTAACCCTCTTCTGCTGACAGATTCCTTCCGCAGAAAGTGGCATCATTGGGTGCCACCCCTTATCTTATCTGTTTTGTTATCTCTGCCCTTTGTAAATGGTTGTGTTTGGGGAAAGGAATTTCTGGAAGATTTGACTCTTCTGAAAAGGAATAGCTGTTCCTCATTTTTAAAAAGAAAACTGGTGAGCCTCTTCCACCCTACATCTTTATAATCCCTACTAGCAGTATGGGACCTGCATCCTTTGGGAGGTTCTGCTGCTTACCAACCAGCTTTTGCTGTGTTCATTCCGTATTTAGACCTTTTGAGCCTTCTCCTCAAATTCCTGAAATGACACAATTTTAAGAAGTTAATTAGCTTGGCTAATGCTAAAATCTGTGCACTCATGATTTAATAAAGCAGGGAGAAATTTCTGTACGGCTTAAAGGGGTAGAAATCAACATCGGATGAAAGATGCACTGAACTTGGGTTCTCATGCTATCCACCTTTCCCCCCCATCATGGGTAAGAATTCCTATATATATTTAAGATGCTACTCGATACAGTGATTGCATTTAAGGCATAAATTAGTTCATTATTAATATACAGTCATTTGCAAAGTTGTACCATGCTTTCAGCACCTAATAAACCAAGCACAGAAAAAGCTAAGAGCTTCTTTTGAGAAACAAATTTCTTAGAGATTAAGGAACACAATTTTCTCGCGCATGCATTAACATTTTAAGAGTGTAATCATGCAAAAGCAAATTTTCTGCATACATAAAAACCTCATGCTTAATAATCTTTACACGCTGCCTCAAGTGCTATTTTCAGATTAATTTAGGAAATATCACTGAAGTGCTAGACAGACTGCAGTGATATGCTCTCCCCTTCTGAGTATGGTTCATCTTCACTAAAAAAACCTTCATCAAAGTGCATTGTCTTAATCTTTAAAAACAAACTCAGCTTAATTCGAATCGTCTAATTGCAATAAAAAACTGGAGCTTTTCTCTCTGGATGCCCTTCTCACCTGATTATATGGGGAAAACCTCCTAAACACCAGACCTTTGAAGTATAGGTTCTTATTTTTCTTCCATCAATCAAACAAGATGTGCTTTGTTACGCTGTTGTAGAATTCCAAAACTGCTATGATCTTCACAATGCAACAGGCAACAACCCTCCAGCCCAAAGTTTTAAGCACTTCTAAAGCAGAAGATGGGGAACTAAGATCTCTGCTGGAGACAGCTATTGGCAGTCAGAATAAGCAACACAGGGCCAGGAGAACAAATAGTCTGACTTGGTATTAGGCAGCTTCAATTATATCATAACTTCCACTTGATGGTGCCCGCCACCCAAAAAACAGGGAAAAGGCAATTGATTTATTTCTATTACTTTCTTCATGAAAATACCATGACAGTAAAAAATCATTAGTGAGAAAGTAACTCAGATACTCACTAAAACAGATAACCTTTTTTGAAGATTCAACACAATTAAGGATAATAAAAACCATGGTGGTAAATCATGATTCTCGTGGCAGGGAGAGTATACATATGCAGTAGGACTGGGCGATACCTGGTTTTCAACATCATGATATATCACCAGCTAAACATTGCGATATAGTGATATATCACAATATCCAATATAAGGATGCTATGTATAGGCATTGGCTTTTCCTGCACACACACCATGATTCCTGATGTATTGCCAGGTCAAAAATTATAAAAACAGTATCACGGTTCAATATCACTTCAATCCAGTTTGGGACAATTTAATGCTATATCACCCAGTCTAAAAATGCAGTGAGGTTCCAGGTTTGTATTTCTAAAAAGCAACCACCCATTAGTACCACATGCTCAGCCACCTTTAAACTACTCTTGACTGTGTGTAACATAGCTTCCTCCCTGCATATCTAGTAATACGAGGGAATTAACCTGTTCAGACCTATTACAGTTTAGAGTAAATATTCAGGTTAGACAAGGAGAGATATTAGTGTTTGGGAGACGTGAAATTAAAAAAAACCGCCACAATACACACAAACACTTGTATGAGCCTACTTTGTTCTCCATAACTGATCTCCCCACCGTATTAAAGCACTATAAAAGCTCATGTTTGGGCCTAGGAGCCCTCTAAATTTACATAGCACATCAGAATTCTTAGAATCAGTTGGAAGGGACCACGTGGATCATCTAGTCTAACTCCCTGCAGTGCAGGAATCTTTCACCCAACATGGGGTTCAAACTCATGACCCCGAGTCTCATGCTTTACCAACTGAGCTATCATGCTGAAGAAAGCCCCATGCCTAAGACCTAGCACCACAACTTGCCTCTTCTGATCTGATTAGAGCCCTGAACAGGACCTCCCCTCTTCACAACGTTGTGCTGGAGGCCCCACTTGTCAATGAAATAAATTTGCTAGTAGCAGCAATGTTGCTATGATGTTGGCAAAGATAGTCAGGATTAGAGTACCATAGTGATCTTTCTGATTCATGAGCCTACTGATCACCCTATCTTGAACACAACAGCTCCAACTGTGGCGTGACATGGGCCCAAGGCTCAGAAAGCATGACAGCCCACAGGGCTTATAATTTGTGGCCTAACAGTTTTGTATCCCTGACATTAGTGACCTTTCCATTCATTGCCTTTCACTGGCCACATTCCAGTGAAGGCTTGTCAGCAAAAGCAGTGATCTTCTGGCAGTGAATGCCAGAAATATGGTCCCTTTTTAAATTAAGGGGAGGATACTGCCTTTTATTTTAGAGTGGAGTGCTGTGGTGGCACTTGTGACAACCCACCAGATGTGGAACTACAAATCCCATCAGCCCCAGCCAACAACAGGGATGATCAGAATCGCAGTCCAGCAACATCCAAAGGGAGACAGATTGCCCGTTCCTTGTGCAGTGATGGGCTGGCAAAAAGCACAAAAACACACAGTTTTAACAATGGGAAATGGCGTCTAAACATTTCACATCTCCTCCTTCCGCAGTACCTTTTCTCCATATGGATTTCCAGGCACAGGTTAACGTTATTGGATTCAATATTCCCAAATGACTTCACTTGAGTGTTGTATGTTTCATCTTTATTGGTTTCTAGAGCTGACTTAAATTGCGCAGTTTACACAAAACAAGCAAAATCCATCCCCTGGAAGCAGGAGAGGGGAGGACAAAAATTAAGGCTACAGAACTTTGTTTCCTTTGGCCAATGGGAAAAATTATCAGGATGGATTAGGTGGACATAATTTGGGGCAATAGCTTGCAGTTTTTACTGACGTTTTTATTGCTGGTGTATAGAATTTAGAATTAATCAGATACACTGTTATTTCTCTCTTTCACTCTCTTCCTCCCAAATGAACACGGGAAGGGCCAAATTTCTTTCAATCGCTAAAGCGTGCAACTAAAAAACAATGTCAAGGCTAGAGGCACCGCAGGCGAGCTGTTAATGTGGGAACAAAAGGGAATTTGGCCAGTTTAATAACAAACGATGGTGGAGCTTTCCCAGAGATGGCTTAAGCCCAACTGGCCCTTTCCACCCCCAGAGCTACAGTATATATGCCTTTCAAGGATTTGCGGTCTGGCATAATCAAGACAGAGTAAACTTACATTCCTAGAAAGGAAAGAAATATAATTAACCAACACAACAAGGTTAGGCAGTATAATGCCCTAGGTTAAAATAACACCGCAGTTGAGAAGTGCTCAGTAAGCAATCAAAATCTATAGTGCACTGGTCTGTGCTGATCCAGGGAAGGAACTCAGAGAACTTCCAGTACATTATTATCTTTTAGGTACCCTGTAGAGATGGTTGTTCCTGAAAATATGAATAAAAAAGGATTTGGGGCCAGGGAGGGGTGTGTGTTTTAGCATGTTTTAATACTTCCTCCCGCATGATATTTTTTCTCTGTGTCTCTGTGTCACTTTCCATTTTATTTAGTACTATAAATCAAGGCTTCTTGTTTTTGAAAAAAGAAAAAAAGATGTGGTTGTCCTAGAAGTAAGGAGACTGAAAAGAGCAAATATGCTATGATCCTCACATGGACACTCTTAAAAGCATCATGTGGTAGCTGTTAACAACGCAGTGACCACATTATGCAAATTCCCTACCCTGTGAGCAATGTATATAGGGAAAGATGTGCGATTGAGAAACCTAAGCAACAGAGCAGAATGTTGAACCAAGAATCAGATCTCTGCACAGAGCTAAGCCTTTTATGCTGCACCAACTTACCTGCTTCTCTCTGAAAAGGATTTGAATAAACTGCAGTTTAATGGTAGTATTTCTCTCTTGGATAAAACAAGTCTCGGGCAGACATGCAACTCATAATACAATCATAGAATTTTCTGCTGCACAACTGACATTCTAAATCACATGGGGAGACTCTACACGTAGCAGAGTTCCCTGCTTCAGACTTCCACCCTCCATTGGTTGGCAGCGATTGGGGGGTGGGAAGAATTTAGCACATTCACCCCCCACTCTCTGTGCTAGCTTGTAGGTTTCACATGCAAGCAGAGCACCCAAGTAGGGCTTAGGAGGCATCACATTTCTGACCTTCACTTCTTGAACTGCTGCTGAGCTGGTAATGATCTGATTCATGTTTGAGACTTGAGGAAACAGCTAATACCAAACACAGTATCAATATCAGACCTTTGAAAGTGCCCAGTAGCGATTCCCCAAAACATCTGGGGGTATGGGGAACCCTTCTGGGTCTGGCCAAAGGCCCATCTGTCTCAGTGTTGTGATTTTACTGTGGCCAGCCAGATACCTTATGGGAAGCCTGAAAGCAGGAGTTTGGTGCAATGGCACTCTTGTAAGAGTGGAATGATCTCCTTCGGGAGGTTGTGGACTCTCCTTCCTTGGAGATTTTTAAGCCTGGCCATCTGTCATGGATGCTTTAGCTGAGATTCCTGCATTGCAGGGGGTTGGACTAGATAACCCTTGGGGTCCCTTCCACCTCTACAACTCTATGATTCCCAGGAACTGGTATTCATAGGAATAGTGCTCAACTCAGAGATCAAGTCCCTGAGTCATTTATATAGCACAGCACTTGTCCTAGGTGTTCAAAAGGTTCTTCACACATGAAATCCAATTCAGACTTTACCTTGGTCTCGCTCCGAGCTTCTCCTGCGTTTCCCCTGCCGTCTTCGTAAGGGCTCCTCCAGTCACTTCACTTTGTCCTATCAATAATAAATGGCCCACAGTGAGAAATCATATCAAACTTAAAAGGAGGAAGGGGAAACAGACACTTCAGTGTAAAACAGAGCTTTAAAATCCTGCTCACGTATAAACAATAGGAGCATAATGAAAATATGCCTGCTGAGGCATCTGGTTATTGCCGTTGTAATAACACCATTCATAACAAAAAAAAAGGGCAGCATGCCACACAAAAGAAAGGCAAAATTAAATTTTGAAAAATACAGTATGGCTCCTGCTGCCAGACCCATCGAGCTGAGACCACACACCTAAGAGTCAATTACAGAATTCTTACAGACCTGTCACACGCTGCACTCACTGTGGGGAAATGACAAATGATTGTTTGCCACATGTCGAACCATCTACAACTACATTGGCATCAAGCAACATTGTCAGGAACCTCCCCTCTTTCTATGCACCGATCCTACAGCAGCTAATGTAGGGGACCTTGGACAACTGGATTTTGAAACCCAATAATACTAGAACCCAGGGTGGTCAAAGAGGTTGAATGGTGGGAGAAGTTCTGAAAGGAAGCCGTTCTACACACAGCACATAGAATGGAACTTGCTGCCTCAAGGTGCAGCAAAGGCCACCAACTTGGACAGCTTTAAAAGACGCAACAAATTCATGGAAGATAAGGCAATCCAAGGCTGCTAGCCATGTTGGTCATATATTTTCTCCAGCATCAGAGGCAAAATGCTATGGGTTATCAGCTGCTAAAGAGCTTTCATGCCCTCCGTCGGGCTTCTGACAGGCATCTGGTTGGCCACTGTGGTAAACAGGATGCTATGTAAACTAGATATGCCTTTGCTCCTCTCTCATAGGCAGCCTCATATGCTAAGCTGAGGAAACAACAGCACTTGTTCTCTTGACTGGATGTGTGTACAACAAATGTACAGTACTTGGGCAGGGGGAGAATGGAATCCCAGCAACAAGTTGTGTCCCTTGACCTTTTTTGCATGGTTCCTATGTACATTCAAGCAGTATGTCAGACAGAAACCCACCTGCATATACCAGAACCTATGGACATACAATTTTTTATGTACAAAGGTATATGCATAGACTAAGTCAGGGCTTGTAGGCATAATCCCGTTTCCCCCATTTGTGTTCAGTTGTGCTAACGTTTGCAATTAAATTAGCAAAATTATCTATGGGAGCATATGTATGAAGTAGATCAATTGTGCTAAGGCTAGTTCTTGCACTGTTTTTCTCCTACATACCCAAGGAAGCTGATCTTGGTTGTGTGCACATCACAGCTGGCCTGGACTAGACATGTCCTAATAAGCTAGCGTTCCAAAAAGAAGCATGTTTGTTATGAAATAAATTATAAGAAACTTCCATGCACAACTCCCTGCCCTCTGCCGCCCACATGTAAAAGTCTGTCCTATTAAGCAGAGGCTTGTAAAGGAATGAGTGGCTTAAGAAAAAAAAAATTCCCCAGTGGCTGCTATGCTTTCTATAAATGCTATTATAGATAAAATAAAAATAGTCAATCACCTCTCTCAAACTGAAATGAAAGAAGACTGACAATTTGGAACAGTGCTCAGTGTTGTTACCCGGAAAAGTAAAGGTAAGTCACATGGCCCATGCAGTTGTAGTGCCAGTTTCCTCTTAAAGCCAGCCAAGGGACCTTGCAAACCAGTTGCTGGCTCCTGGTCTCCTATAAGAAGCTACAAGGGGACTAGTGTTTGGGTCTGCACCAACCTTTTGCTTTTGCAAACATTTACCTTGACATCACTACTCATGAAAACATACTAAGCAAAGCTCTGTTTTGGAAATTAGGAACATTTTTTTTCCTAAAGAAAATACGATTATGACTCCAGTCCAAAATATGTTAAATTGGAATGCTGCTGAAATCAATTAGATTTGATTTAGGGAAAACGTGGTTAGGACCAGGCTACAACTTTGCTTAAATAATACTTTAATAATACTTTACTAGAATTACAATTTTAATAAATACTTTACTAGAATATAACTTTAATTAAAAAAATAACATGTATCAATAGCTTGCACAGTTACTATCAATGAGCTATTTAGAGTTACACTATAGTTTCTGTGACTATATAGTTCATACAGGGCTGTCTCTATGTTGGCTCCACCTTGGCAAAGTTTTCTCTGGTGGACCCCTTTCTATGTTGTTATCCCACCAGCTCCCCTACCGCACATTTGGTTTACCTAGCAACAGCTGTCAAAGGAGCCCATCTTCTCACCTGAAATGTTTCAACATCTATACAAAGCCACTGGGTGAAACTGTAAATAGCATTAGGGCTGGGTGTAAATCAGGCATAGGCAAACTCTGGCCCTCCAGATGTTTGAGACTACAATTCCCACTATCTCTGATCACCGGTCCTGTTAGCTAGGGATGATGGGAATTGTAGTCCCAAACATCTGGAGGGCCGGAGTTTTCCTATGCCTTGTATAAATCAATATGCACACAGAATGATAGGATTGGAAGGGATTCCAAGCATCACCTAGTCCAACCTCCTGCAATACAGGAATCTCAAGTAAAGCATCCATGACAGACGACCATGAATGGACAGATGACCAGCATCACATAGCATAGAGATACATGAAAAAGTAGAGAAATGCGGCTCGTTTGTCTGCTTGAGTAGGGAGTTTCTGACATATGTTGGAAGCAATGGGGTTTTTTTATCAGAGGAGGGAGGGAAGGAAGGAGGGATGGGGGCTCAGTGCTGCCCATGGCACCCTTGACCCCAGGGTGCCATGGAACACTGGTTGAAAACCACTGCCCTAAAGAATGAAAGCATTTATCCATTAAGAGTAAATGATGATGATGATGATGATGATACAGGATCCTCAATAATTTAGAGTGTTGTGGGTGTCTGCTAGTGGAGTGGGGTTCCCCCCTCCTCCCTGTGCCCCCCAAAACTGGCTCTAGGGCAGTTGGGAGAACCCCCAGAATAGCATATGGGGGAAGGAGAGGGGGACTGTTCCACTTGGCAGGCAGAAAGAAAAGCTCACCCTGATGGAACGACTGACATAGCACAACACTGAATTCCTTCCCCTATATGCTTTTAATATCCTGATGCATGTCCACATGAACCACAAATGTCAAAAGGATATTAATTTAATCTCACTCCTTTTTTAAAAAAAATACGACTTGTGTATTATATTAGACCCATTAATTCAGTTAACTTGTGAATCCTTGGAAATCTATTTTTGTTATTTGGAACATATGCTCAAATTAAATTACTTGCAGAAATTCCAGTTTTACACATGATAAACTAGTTGCGTGGGAAGTGAAATGCTTAAAAAAAAATAGCTGACACCCTGATCTTAAGCATCTGCATTGGCACATCCATCAAGCCCTAGACCAGCCTTCCTCAACATTGCATCTTCCAGATACTTTGAACTACAACTCCCATCAGCCCAGTCAGCATGGCCAATGGTCGGGTATGATGGCACATGTAGTATGACATATCTGAAGTGCACCAGGTTGGGGAAGCCTGTCCTAGAGCCTTCTGTCCTGGATAATTATCAGCCAGTTTCCACTGTCCCTTTCTCTGTGTGCAAGATGTTTAAGCAAATGGTAGGTTCTTGGATAGTATGGATGCATTCTGGTTGGGAAGACGGCTTTGTTCGGGGACTGAATCTGCACTGGCAGATGACCTGCACTGGAAACTGCATAGGGGGAGCGTGGCATCGTCATTTCTGCAGGTTCGCTCTGTGTCTTTCAACACTACCTAGAATGGTAACCTCTGGATTCTCTACCTGGGTTACAGATGTTTTGTGACGGCTTCAGCACTATTTGAAAGGCAAGTTCCAGAAGGTGGTGCTGGGGGGCCACTGCTCAGCCCCTTAGCCTTTGGTCTATGGGTCCTATGGAACTCCCGTTTAGTCCCCTGTGCTCGTTATAGCTACATTAAACCCACTGGCAATGGCCACTTAAAAGTATGGAGCACAAGCTTACCCAGGAAAGCAGTCTGAGGAACTAAGGGAAATCAAAGCCACAAGAGACAATGTTTTAGGCCATGGGTAGGCAAACCTGGGGTCCAGCCCAATCGCCTTCTAAATCTGGCCCGTGGACGGGAATCAGTGTGTTTTTACATGAGTAGAATGTGTCCTTTTATTTAAAATGCATCTCTGGGTTATTTGTGGGGCATAGGAATTCATTCATATTTTTCCCCAAAATATAATCGGGGGCCCCACAAGGTCTGAGGGACAGTGGACCAGCCCCCTGCTGAAAAAGTTTGCTGACCCTTGTTTTAGGCTCTACTGACAAATTTAAAACAAACTCATCACTGGGGCGAAGTGGCATCAATATCAGATTGCTGATGGTCTAATAAAAATATGTAACTTTGTCCCTAAGCTCAGCCTCCTTATGTGGTGTGAGGTGGTGTGCCTCTGAATAGTAGTTGCGGGAGAGCATAAATGCAGATAGCTGCATTGTGTTCATGCCCTGTTTGTGGGCTTCCTATAGGCATCTGATTGTCTACCATGAGAACAAGATGCTAGGATAGGGGAGGTCTTTTGCTTGATGCAGTAGGTTCTCAACAACCGGCAAGGAGTGTAGCTCAGAGGCCGAGCATCTGTCTTATATGCCAGACAAACAAAATGCAGATCCCACAAGCCTGAAGAGCTACTATTCCTGATATGGATTATGGAAACAAGCCAATCTCGTGCCTCCGCAGCTACATTCTGTCCATCCAATCACTGCTCCAGAAGTGCGTAGGACCAGGCACAATGCCCTCCTCTACTGGTGCAATGCCACAAATAAGAGTTTGGGTGCTAGCCATCACAAAGAAGCTCCAGACCTAGTACCAGAATGTCAAGCACTGAAAGTGTTAAGGGCAGGCGTGCGTCCCTGAAACTAGCTGGGGAGGAGGTGGAGCCTTTGAGAGTTCTGATATGTGATATTCTAAGGACCATTTGAGCATCCCAGCCACTGCAGTCCAACTCTGAATGCTGTTTTTTTTCTAGTGCCTGCCTCATGAGGAAAATAGCTCTTGCTCACTTGTCAGGGGTAAGGGACTGCAGCGCAAGCGACTGTTTGCACTGCGGCAATTCAAGTAATTCTGTAAGTCTGCTTTTTTTGTGTGCTAGTAACAGCCTGCAAGGAACTCTTCCGAATCAGTTGCCAAACGCAGAATGCAATAAAGGGTTAAATGATAGACCAATTAAACACAGCAGATATATAAACATGGAAATTTATATCTGAATCAGATTGGATTGCACAAATTACTGAAGACCACATACTTTCACGCAATGATGTGGACTTTTGGTAGGCAGCAGCCTTAAATGGCTTGTGGGTGGTGCTGACCGTACCTTTCAAATATACAGTGGTACCATGCAAAAATTTTGTCACACCTTTCAGCTAAAACTCTGTGGAAGCTAAAAATGCAGTGGAGAAGCACTCCATCAACAAACAAAAACAGTTTATGTAAATTAAATGCAAAATATAACATTTAAAAATCTTATTATAAAAATGTATTTTGTGTATTTTGTTAAATATGCTTTTGCAATAGTAGTGAAGTATGCCAATAGATGACATCTCTACTACTAAGGCAAGTTAGTGCATAATTAAGAAGTCTTGTAGTTGAAAAGAACTACTGCATACTTTTGCTTTTATAAAAAGCACCTTTTAAATATTCTTTGAATCTGCTGATACGAATGAAAATTTTTTTTAATGCATTTACTCAAATTAACAGTATTTGCACCTCAGTGCAGATTTTCAACCCTAATATATTGTAGCTCCCCTTACTATTTCAAGTGCATTCAGAATCTGTATGTATCTGAACACATAGTGACAATCTTGAATTCCACTTTTGGATGCAGTCCTGTAGTTTTACTTGAGAGTAACCCCCACTGAACTCAACAGGGCTTACTTCTGAGTTAGGCATTGCACTGTTAGGAACCAACATTAATAAACTATCACTCAAATCCTCTGTCTTTGCATAATAATGGCTAGTACTGAAATTTAGTACCAAAAGAGCACATTCAGAATATTAGCATGTTTTGATATTGTCATATATTCAGTGCTTTCTTTCTAGAAAAAGAGGTGCCGGTACTCACCATGAAGTTTCTACTGTAAGTGCAGCACTTTTTAAGAACAACAAAAAGAGGTGCAGGTATTGCGTACCCTTGAGTGCACCCCGAAGAAGAAAATGCACTACTTATATTGGTGCCTAGTTGATTAATTTCAAACCCCCCTCCCAAAATGGTCGGAACATTTTAGTTTAACCAAACATATAACTATAAAATCACTGGATAAGAGTTGAATGAATAATCACAATCCTCAAAGCCACGTACATAGTTTTCATCTGCTTTGTCGACTGCAACCATTTTCAGATTATACACTTAAGTAGTCGAACCATAACTGTCATCGGCAGCATAAAGCTTTTCTATATTGGAATCAGATAACCGTTCAAATGAGGGGAAGGAGGGGGAGGAAGACTTATCTAATTCAAAGTATATATACTGTACAGATCGTACGGCTGAAAATCTCCTGCAGTTTAAAGCACTTGAGCATTACGGTATCCACAAACCTGTAACAGAATTCCATCCTACGCCCAGAAGCTAAACAAAATCGCCAAGGATGATGGAAAAGCAGGCGTGTAACACATACATGGCTGAAACCATGAAACACATGGCTGCATTTTCTCCTGTGCCGTCGAAGTTAAAGGTGCTGGAACCACTTTTGTCTCTTTCTGATATGGATCCAAGATGCCAGGCATGGAGACCAGGGCAATGAAACTAATGCAGTCAGCCTTAGCAAATTAGGTAAATTAGAAATCGTTTGATGGCATTCTATTGTTGCCATTGTAATCACAATAATTTTCATTGGTAATGGTGCTTCGTGATGAAGTGGGATTCTCACGGAATAATTGTGAAAGGTATACTGGAAGAATCGGCGTGTAGCATCTGGCTGCAAAAAGGAAAAAAAAAAAGCTCTTCGGATTCAAGTTGGCATTATATTTTATCTTGAAAATTTATTAGAGATTCACATCATGCCATTTTAAGTGGAAAAGGTGAAAGCAGAGTAATTTTGTTCTATGAATTATTCATCATTATTCAGACTGGGTGAAGCTGCCATCCAGGCACTGACAGTTTCTTCTGCTCTGAGCCTCCGTTTACGCTTGTCATTTTTATTCCTTTATCTACGATTGCTTTCTTAGTTACAGAACTTGTCCCTTAGGGCTTCCTCTTCGCAAAAAAACAACAAAAACCTGAGTCTTTCAAATCAGCAAGAATGCAAAGGATGTGCTGCTTGCCACAAATCACAGTTCTCCACGAGCTGTCTTTTTCTCTCCCCCATCACATCGCCACCCCCCTCGAATAGCATTTTGAAAACCCACATCCACAACGTTGCCTGTTCTTTGATTAGATGGCTTTAGAGAAGGAAAAAGGAACAGCAAAATACAAAAAAAAGAGCGTGTTGCAACTGAAGAAGAGTTATATATTCTCCTGAAACAACAACCCAGAAGATAGTGGTGTTTTGTGCGTCTTCCTTTGTTGTCAATGTAACCCATTCTAGCTGCATAGCATCACGCAGAAAGAAACAACTGTTAAGGCAGGCTGACTTCAGTGCCCTCGCTTCCAATGTGACGCGGACAAGGACTGCGCTCACGACAGACTAATCCACACAAATATACACTTAGGAGGCTAAAAAAAGAGAGAGAGAGAAAAGAAAACCACAAGTAAATAGCTGCTTATGGAAAAGAAATGTAAAAAACAGAAACCAGCAGCAGTTGGGTAGCAAAGTGGAGCACTCGATTCTCACAGGCTGAAAGCGAAAGAGATTGCAATCCCAGAGATTCTCCACTTGATGGCTGGCTGTGACACTGCTAGCCGACTGCTACCCTGCATCCATCCAAAAGGACTGGGATTGATTTAGGTCAGGGAGTCTGCTTTCTCGCTTGAGCTTTTGCTCTAACCGGTGGGAGAAACTGTGGCTATATCTATAGGACCAGGAACTAATATATTACTCTGGGATATTGAGAAGGCTTCCGCAGCAGAGCGCTTGCAAAAAAACAACAACCAAAAGCAGAAGGGGGGGTTAAAAAGGCCCCAGACAGTAACAGGTATCGTCTCCTTTGTCCTGTTCCTGCAGGTGTGTGTCGTTGTGGCATAAGCAACTGTTCACATACAAGGCAGAAAAAACAATCGCTCTTCGTCAGAGGCAATTTAGGTAAAAGGCTCCGAGCAGTGCGTGCCTCCGTTCAAGAGACGCTGCGAATGTCTGAAGCTAACATGCACATCCAGGTGGTATGCTTCTCCTGGACAAAGGTAAAAAATGTACACCGCAGTAAAACAGATGGAAGGTTTTTTAATACAAAATAATAAAGCCTATGCTGCTCCGTGCCCGGTTCTAGGCGTCTGCTTTGCCGCACTGCGACTAGAAAACTGCAGCAGGGAGAGCTCTGGCACTTGCGATAATGTAGAAAGCAGCAGCTCTGTGACAAAGCAGTCAGCTGACTTGCACTGTTATAATTCAATGTCCTCTCTAAAAATAAGGCCAGTTTCTAAGCTAGCACCAGAGGCTGACCCGGCATACCAAATCCAGCCCCCCCAAAAACTGCAAGAAAGGGAGTGGTGCCAGGGATTCTTCTATTATTACCCTATATCAGATGTGTTGTTTTGCATGGGGTGACTTGTTTTCAGGGTGGGAGTCCTGCTGCTTTTAGTAGAGTTACCCTTTGGCATACAGAA